TTCACTGCGCACAACTGTACATTTTTCAAGTACTAGATGGTATTCATAAAGATCAAAAGTTAATAATGAAGGAAAGGGAACACATTATTTATGGTATCAAGATTTGAAGAAATGCATAGTATCTTTTATTCTCATCTGTTTTTTGGTTAGAATTAACTGCCTGTAATTTAAGACCCATTATTCATTCCTGAGATAAATGAATTAAGCTTTACAGGGTTTGGTGATAGGTACTTTGTACATGTATGGTTACAACTGCCTCGGGGTAGTTTTTCTATGTTGAGTAAAAGAAAGAGAAAAATCAATGTCTTTCTTCTTTCCAAATAATTTAAGATGATTTCTTGTTCAAATTAAAAATTAGCTTGCAGGAAATACTGCTGTGTTGAAGCCTATCTCCCTGCAAGTTACAGATTGTGTCTGTGTAAATAATGTTCAGATACAAATTGCTTCCTAGCAGCTGATTAGTTGGTATGTCAATGAAAGGAGAAATGATTTGCGTCATTGGAGAGTTCTTTGAAGTCATTGAAGTCTAATTCACCACTAAGTATTAGAGATCTAACATTAATGTTTCCAGTTACCATGAGAAGGGGTCTAACGTAAAATTACAGGAACATTTAATTCATAATTAAGGCTGAAATCTTTTTCTTTGTTACTTCACTTCAGTTGATGTTTTGCTACTATGGCATATATGATATATTAGAATGCCTGAATTCATACCATCTGTAGTTTCAATAAAATAACTAAACATTAACTGAATATATTTTATAGTTCAATTGTGCCTCAAAAATGTGTTTTCTTTCTTACACACTCATTCACACCCGCACCTACATTGGTATGTATATATTGATTACCAGCGTAAACAATGTTAAATGGATGGGCTCAGTTTAATTAAAATGCATCATCAATTCATCATTATTTTTTTTAAGGAATTAGGTTATTCGAATCAGTGTAACATAAACTTTGCAGTATTTGCCACTGCAGTTTTTCCTCTTAGTTCTATCACTTGTGAAACATCAACATCCATGTTCTAGTTGATCCATTCTTAATACTTAATACGTAGATGAAGCAGATTATCTAGACCCCTTTCAGTTCTAGCCCAGATATGATATTCGTCACATTTTTATATCATCTCTGGTGGGAGTAGCATAGGCTAGTGCATCCATTCTTGTTTTAGTTGACCTCTTGGAAACTTTTGATACCATTATCCATAGTATTTGTATAGATGTACATGTACCAGTAGCCAAAAGGTTTTGATATTCTTCAGTCTAGTTCAGACATGTCAAACACAAGGCCTGGGGGCTGGATGTGGCCCGCAAAGTGGTTTCATGTGGCCCACGAAGCCATCCTGGAAACAGTGAGGGAACAGCCCCTGCTGCCTTGGCCCTGGCCCAGGCCGGCCAGGAGCCAATGTACAATTTTGTGGTGGCCATCTATGCTGAAACGCATTCAGTCTTAGCTCCACAAGCTGTCCAGAAACAGCGAGGAACCAGCCCCTGCTGTGTCAGTCCCGCCCCCTGGGTGCATGCTGGGGAGGTGTCACCCTTTGTGAGAAATGAAGAAATGCAGCATGCCTTGGTGCTTGCCCCGGTCCCACCCCCTTCTGCCAGAGATCCTCAGATCTGTCCCACTCCTGCCCAGGCCCCCAGAAGCACCGTTGACGCGAACGATGTAGAGCTAGCCATGCCCACCCAGTAGGCCACACCCACTCCATCCACACCCACCCAGTAGGCAGCACCCACCCTGGCCACACCAACCCGGCCCCCCAAGGGCAATCGCAATGCTGATGCGGCCCTCAATGAAATTGAGTTTGACACCCCTGGTCTAGTTGAAGGCCATGCTTTTGACTCACTTTTCAAATAAATTGCTTATATTTCTGGTGATTAATATTAGATCAACTTTCCCCAGTCTTTGGACTGTAATTTTTGCTATCAAAAATTCTGAAAATTGTAATATAATATATCTTGAAAGTACCAGATTTGCCTACTTAGACCATAATTGTGTTTATATGTAACTGGAAATAAGTCCTATTGAATTTAGGTAGACTAAACTAAAGGAACTTGTGATTGAATTACTACCAGTAGTATTATCTAATTGTTTGTTCTTAGAATGTAAAATTTGAAACTGTTCTTGAGATATGCAGGAAATCTTTGGAAAATAGGCATATACTACTGGACTGCACTTATAGCTCAGCTGGCTTTATTCAACTTCTCCAGCAAAGGGAAGAATTGCAGAACAAGAACAAAAGGAATTCGGTAGCACCTTTTCTAACAATTTGTTGAAAAGCATAAGCTGCTGATCTCACCAGCTTAAGCCTAACATTTGTTAGAAAAATACTACCAGATTCCTTGTGATTTTTTTTTATTTTTGCCAACAGGTCTTCCTTCTGTAGCAAGTACAAAACTCAGTTGCGGTCATGACTCACTTTTAAGTTGCTGGTTGAAGGGCATCACTTGAGAGTGCCAGCAGTTTCACTGCTTCAGTCATCATTGTCAATGATGTAGGGAGAGAAAACCCCTGAGTCATATAGCGAAAAAAGCTGAATACACTATTCTGTTTAACACGTCCATGAAATTTAAGCTAAAAAAGTTTTAAGGAATCAGGTAAAGGCATATAAAACATTCACTCAGAGCAAGAGTAAAGGCAGGATGAAAAGGCATTTTGCTTTCGTTTCTACGAAATTTGTCTTTGGCTACTGCTTAGTGCTGTTTGCTAGATTGATCAAAGATTGATGGATGATGGATGGGCAGACAGACACAGACTTTTATATCAGAAAGTAAGCCCAAATCACAGGTACATTCTTTATGTTCATCTTTTACAGATGGTTTAGTTCGACTGAGTACTGTTTTTGTAAAACTCATTTTCCACCAAATAAATGGAAATTAGATGCGCACACTAAACTCAGAGCAGTATTGCATTGCTTTTTACTGGACACCCTCCTTACTTTGCATTGCATTTCAAAAGCTCTTCCGACTCAGTTCTTCCTCAGTGGTTTAACTTTAAAGATTAATTAGAACTGAGGTATGGACCAGTTATAAGAGGATGGAGTAAGGATTTGAATGTACAGTTGAAAGTATATTTATGAATTCATGTATAATGTTTGGTCTTCACATATTTAGAGAAAGGGAAACAAAGGAGGGGAAAAATATTTAAAAAAGATAGAGGGAGGAAGGAGATCATTCTGAAGTCAACAGGAGTTGAAACTTGACTTAACAGAAACTTGGTTTTCATAGGCAGCAGTAATATTCAATCTAGCTCTCTTGTTACTTATGTCGTAATACTTCTGTAATCTTTTGCAATTTTTCTTTTATGGACAACAGGCAGTGTTCTTATTCTGGCTACCATTTTCTCTCTCTCCATAAGTGGAATGTCCTTTTGCAGGCCTCTAACTTTGAAGCAAGGCAAATAATGGTAATAAAGAAGGAAACAATTGAAGGATTAAAGAGATATAAGAAAAGAATACATAGAAAAGAATATGTAATGAATAAAGTGTGAATTCAGATGAACCAGCCTGGCTTGGTAATTAATAGTGCTTGTGAAAGTATTCCTCAAATTTGAATTGTTAACAAGCCAAATATGAGTCAGCAATGTGACGTGATTCCAAAATGATAAGTGCGTCAGTAGCATATTTTCAAATGACTGAAAAGAATAGTTCCACTTTATTTCACATTGGTTAGACCTCTACCTTAAATATTGTTCCTATTTTTCAGTGGAATTTTAAAAAACATTCAGACAAATTGGAATGAATTCAGAAAAGGGCAATGAAGGTTAACAGAAGATTGGAACTTAATTCCTGGAGTGACAAATTAAGGGAATAGATATGTTTAGCTTTGAGAAGAGAAAACTGAAAGGAAAAATACAACATTCTTAAAATACATGAAGTAGTTTCACACAGAAGAAAGTTAAGACCTATTTCTCTGTCAGTGCAGAGTTTAGGGCATTACATAATAAACTGAAGATACAGGAAAGTGGATTTCAGTTTAGTATTTCCAAAATAATTCCTAAAATTACAGATAATCCTCAATTTACAATCACAGTTGGGACAACAATTTTAGTTGCCAAGTCAATGCAATATGCAGTGGTGGGATTCAGCCGGTTCGCACCACTTTGGCAGAACCGGTAGCTAATTTTTTGTTGCCCAGAACGGACTTCCAGAAGTGGCATCCACACAGAGAACCAGTTGTTCACATATTTGAATCCTACCACTGGCAATATGTAATGAGATGTCTTGTGATTGCTTCACTTGGAGACAGCAATCCTGTCTGTCCCCATTGCAATTGTTAACCAAGAATCACAGATCATTAAGCAAGTACGCAATACAAGCCATTCTAGACTTTTTGTCCCTCACAGCCTCAAGCCAACTCCCCCCACCTGCCTATCTCCCCTTCGAACTATGCCCACCTTGCACATTGCCTTGTGGGGCACCCCCCCCAAGCCTTAGCATTTCATTCACGCAACAGCATTCATTCATTTGACCCAAGAGGTAGCATTTATTTGTGCACCAGCATTTGTTCAACAACCCCCACTCCCCATAGCAGCATTTATTCTTGCGACAGCTGCCTTCTCTCCCAGTTCCCTTGATCACTTACACAATTTTTCTCAACTAAAGCATCTTAGGCATCTTGTCTTATTTGAAGTTGTTCTAGCCCTTTGATTATTTGTATTGTCTTTTTGTCTTTTCTGTCTAATGACACAGCGTTGGACACCATCTAATGAAGTGAAAATACATTTAGAATTAATCACACCTCATTGTTTCCATCTTATCCAAGAGTTTGGGTAAGATTCAGGAGTATTTTTTTTTAATGCACGCCTACAAACCCACAAACTGATGTGTGCATAATCGCTAACAATCCTTTTGACAATCGCCTTAGTCTAAAATAAGTATTTGTTTTGCAGCATGCAGCAATGATATAGTTTCAGGTCTTGTTCTGTTGCTGAGTCATAGCTAGTGATTCTAGTCGTGAATAAATTTACCTGTATTTGCTAAATCCTTTCCTGTTTTTTAGAAGGAAGATGTTGTGGATGAAGAGATGGCAGAGAAGCTTTCCATTCGAAAGCAACGTTTTATGCAATTTGCTTCTTTGGAATATGAAGGAGAATATTACATGACTCCAAGAGACTTCCTGTTCTCAGTTATGTTTGACAAATCAGAGCGTAAGTGCTGTTTTTCTTTTTGATTTAAACAATGCTATTGAATGAATGCCGATTTGTCCATTGGCCAAATTAGAGTTTCCTCTCTGATTTTAGTAAAGAGAAATTAAGAAGGAGAATTTCTTCTTATTTGTGTATCACTTTAAAATGAGACAAACTGAGTTAGATAATGCAGTTTATTCTGAATACAACCAGCAGACTAGAGACTCTCCATTTATGCTCCCACAACTGAATTTGGTCTTGTTCATATACACAGGTACCTCGGCCCTTTGCCCTGCCAGATATGGAGGAAGTTTGGCCTTTTTAAAACAAAAAATTCTGTAGAAAAATGGGACTTCACTTTGCCCAATAACCTCTGATGCAGTGTTTCTCAGCCTTGACATGTTTTAGATGGGTGGACTTCAACTCCCAGAATTTCCCAATCAGTCATGCTCGCTGGGGAATTCTGGGAGTTGAAGTCCAAGTCTTTTATGGAAGAGTAGGAGAGTAGAGGCCTGCTGAACTTCAGAGGGAAAAGTGTTCCATAGAGCAGGGGCTGCTATGGAAAAGGCACACTTCCTAGCTCCCATTAGATGATAAATGTTTAAGGCAGAAGTAGGCAACCTTGGCTCTTTTATGAGTCGTGGACTTCAACTCCCAGAATTCCTGAGCCAGCCATGCTGAGGGGAAAGGTTTCCAAGCTGAGCCATGCTGGCTCAGGAATTCTGGGAGTTGCAGTCCAGGAGTCATAAAAGAGCCAAGATTGCCTACCCCTGGTTTAAGTGCCTTCCCCACTTCTGACCTGGAAGATTAGCCCTGTATAGAGTGCATTGCAGGATCCAAATTTATGGAGAAGGGTAAAATATCTAGTCAGGGATTCATTTTTGTTTTTCGGTTGCATTAAGTCTCATTTTTCTTATCTTTCTAGAATATAAGTTACAGAATTGGATGTTTGATTTCAGCATATTTAAGGTTAACTGTATGAAGATACTTTTCTTATATTTTTCAGACTCTTTTTTTGGGGAGATAGTGCCATCTTGTGGCCTGTCTGGAGCACTGGATTTTCTTTTGGATTTACCCTTTTCATGTAAACTTTGTAATTATTTCCTTTCATATTGAATGTCCTCATTTTATTTTATTTTTTAATGTTTTATCCTATTTTTCTTAATAACATCATTTGATTTTGTGACCTCTGAGTTTGAATTATCTCCAAAGGGCAAGGAAATGCTGAATCTCCTTGTCACCAAACCTTTACATTACAGAGTCAGGAGATGGTCCAATTGCAGCCATTTCCTTTTTTGCATTTTGACTTTTTAATGGCCAGAAAAACATTAGGGGGCATGGAGTCAAGTGAGTTGCCCCTGGAAGGATAAATGGTAGTAGAAAGAACTTCCAAGCAAAACAGGAAGCAAAGCTAGGACTGATTATTTGCTCTGCTTTTCTACTTAAATACCTGGAAAGGACAACTCCAAATTGTGGGAAATCCTACCAAAGGGTCATTATTAATGCTGCATTTTTCTTTTGCATTACAACGTTATCACAAATGATAAAATAGTGACTTTTGAATAGCAAAAGGTTATATGTCTGTTCTTCCTAAAGAAACATAGTGTAAGTGCATTGTATGCAGGAAAACATGGGTTGAATTACTGGCCTTTGAGATACTGTCAGGTTTAGTCTGAACATTGGTATAACAGATAACTAATGTGGTAGTTAAATAAAATTTATATTATAAAGCTCAGAATTTATAAAATTTAGATTGCAAAGAAATGTGTGACATTCATTTGATATCTAGCTCTAAAACTAACTATTCATAAATTGTTTTTATTAAAGAGAATGCTGATGTAATCATTGATTCTGGTGGCAGTTTCTTATACATGCAATGTATAGATCAGTGGAGGCAAACCTATGGCATGGGTGCCAGAGGCAGCACTCGGAGCCCTCTCTGTGGGCACACATACCGTTGCCCCAGCCTTGCCTCCACCCGCGACCCCTTCCTCACCAGCAGCCTCGTGGCCCACGTGGAGCAGCACAGCCAAGGACATGGCAGCCAGGCAGCGTAGACAAGATTCTGCCCTCACGCCCCATCATGCACAGTTGATGCTGCGGGGCATGGGCAGAGGGCGTGGCCGCCGTGGCACTGCTGGGCTGTCTGGGTGATCTGCGATGGGCCTTGGAGGCGATGAGTGGCCCTGTGGGCAGGCAGGGTGGGGCGGGGCAGGGGTGGGGCAGGGGTGGGGCAGGGGCGGGCCAGTTTTGGGGCACTCGGTCTCTAAAAGGTTCACCATCACTGGTATAGATAATGTCTTGCCTGAAAAAATGTGCTTTTTCCTGATTGTTGTTTCATGTGTCTGCTATTTGTTGTTTAAAATTTATGTAAATGGAGATTTAAAAAGGTGGAAAGATGCTAAAAGGCACACAGTTCATCTTCTGAGCCAACTTCCATTGGCAGTTTGAAGTACCTAAGTTGTAATAATTTCTGTTCTTTCATTCTTACCACGATAAAAAAAAAAATCAAACTCTCATTACTTTGTATTGCCATATATAGACCTTCATGCAGTTTTTAATTCAATTCATGAGTTCACAATACATAGAGTGAGAAGTTATAAACTTGAGAAATATAGAATTCTTCATATAATCTATTTATAAATTATCAAAAATATTTAACAAGTGAAAATATGATTCTTCGTCATGATAGACTACACCATGATGCCATGATAAACCATTCAGCCAATTTAGTTCCAAGTGCATTTCTCATTCCTTGCTAGATGATGCACCATGTAAGCTATCTACACCTTGGTTAACCAAAGTCAGTTAAGATGTGATCACAAAACTCTAGGCCAGTTTCATTTCCACTACATTCACATAGGAGATAGTTAAAGACTAGAAAGAAGAAAAACTATAATAGCCACCTATCACACACTTGGTCTAATGTCCTAAATGTTTCTAATGATGGTCTTTTATAGCAATAGGTTTTAAAATTATTGCAGCCCAATTGGTCTGGAAGATACATGTTAGCTATGTTCACTGCAATTTTTAGGGATTATAGTTGGAATATCTAAAGGGCAAAAAATGGGGGAGGCTATATTAGGGCTGTTTTTTGTGATTTCAGTTTTATATATAAATGTAATGAATAGAAAGTATATTATTTTTAAAGTTAAATATTTAAACATTTATTTTATTCTTTCTGATATGCCTTGTAGCAGTGTTTGAACAGATTGTTCCTATCATTCTACCACAATAGTTTTGTTCTAACTATTATGTAAATTTAAATATTTCTAAACTGTTGGTAGTGTTCTGTTCATGTCACATGCAATTTCTCTTTTAAAAACACAGTATGAAGAAATTCTGCAGAACTCAACAAAGCTTTGACTTCTAGATGATTGAATAGTGTGTTTTTTCTTTTCTTTCTTTTCTTTTTTTGGACAGGTAAAACTTTGGCCAAGAAACTGACAAAAAAGGTAGGCAAAGAACTGATGCAGTTTGTCAAAAGAACTTTTGTTCTTTCTGTTACTGGCTTTAATGAATTTTGCTTTCACAACTAACTTGTCATTTATTTGGTTTGTTCAAAGGAAGTAGATTCTACCCTAGCAAATGTTGCGAAGGCTAGACCAGGACCAACCTTTTTTAGAGATCTTGGAGACAGAGGTAACAGTTTAGGTTATTGATGGAATTAATATTAAAATCTTTTTTCTTGAGATTTCAGTATATGGAAATTTGTGCTTGATGTCTAGGCTGCTAAATTAAACTCTATTTTAGCTCCAGAAATACAGATCTGAAAAAGGTGTGTGTGTGTGTGTGTGTGTGTGTGAGAGAGAGAGAGAGAGAGAGAGAGAGAGAGAGAGAGAGAGAGAGAGAGAGAGAGAGAGAGAGAGAGAGAGAGAGAGAGAGAAATTCAGTTTGACAGTACACTACAAAACCATGGGATTATTTAGGCTTCCTAAATCGTAGCTGTGAGTGAGCCCTTTGGAATGAACCAAACTTGAACACCAAAGATATGAATACTAAAACTGACTGTGCCTCCCCGCTACCTGCCTTTGTCTTTGTCCTACAGAAAACCAGGGAGGGTCAGGTCTGAGATGCTTTCTCAAATTCCATTCCTGTTTTGGGCTGAGATTTCTCTTATCCAACTGTTGCTTTGGCTGCAGCTCTTTCTCCTCTTCCTTAGGGCTATTGTCACAGCCCATTACATTAGTTTCTTTGAGAAAAATCTATGTGGTTGCTAAGAGTGGGCACTGAATTAATGGCACATAAACAGCCAAATCTAAACAAACAAATTGAGTTCATTTCTTTTCCTTGTTTGAATAGGAAGCAATCAAAGACATCTAAGTCCCTTTGATCTCCAAAATATGGCAATATGGTTTTGTGGTATTTAAAATTTCATACTCAGGTCCATAAGTTGTGTACCGTATGTTTAATGGAAGTGATAGCACAGAAAAGAGTTTTTGAACAACATTTACAATAGGAACTGCAAGAGAGTATGAGTCAGCTAAACTAATAATGGGGATGACCTAAGTAGTTTTCATTAGCCTAATAGCTCATGAATTATCGATGACATAGACTCAAAAATACAGCAGAAAGTATATTCAGTACTGAATTAATACATTCATGTACATGTGTATACTTGCAGGGGACATGGGTGGCATACAAATTTAATAGATAATAAAATATACTCAGTCTTTTTTCTGCTTCCATTCTTTGAGGGAATGGGGACTGAGGTCAAAAGCAGGCCAATAGATTTGTTCCTAATAATATAAAAAAAATCATGAACCTTAGCTATAAATCCTAACCTGCAGATAGACCATCATTGTGCCTTTTACTCCAATTTAATGGGGAACAAGCATGTTTTGTCTTAGCTAGTGTAGCCTGAAAATCCATATTTCTAATTTGTGCTTCCGTACATAACTTTAATATAGATGAAATAAAGAAAGACTAAGTGAATAGGCTTTGAAGTTAAATCTTCTGCCAAGTGCTGAGTAGGTATCCCTTAACATCAGGGTAAGGTCATGTGCTAAGGCTAACTTTGGGGGTGTACCGTTCCAGAAGTTCAGAGCATATGTCCAAGGCAAGGTATCATTTTTTTTTTTTACTATAATTGTACTTTTTGTTAAACTTGTTTGCAGCATTGTCCTGGGAGTGCTAGGCTTGAACTGAGGTATGAGTTCCAGTTCCATCTTCGCAGTGGTCAAAATGCCATCAGCTTTCATTTCCATTTCTCTGAAATAGGACTGATTGTAAATTGTAGCTGGATGAGGCAACTAAATAATGGTTAGGATATAAAATTGGATGAAAATCCAAATTGAACTAAGAGCACTAGAGATACAGATAGACTTTAAGAAATTACGTGAGATGCTTTCAGTTTTGTTCATCTTGTTGTGTTTCCTTGATGTTTCATAGATGCCTGCAGTCCCATGAAATCAATCCCATCCATAAAATTGCAGATCCTGAAATGATATCAGTGCTATTAGAAAAAGTACCTTCTCAGTGCTAGTAGAAAGTTTGTTATGAAACTATAAACTGATATACTGTAAGTGAGAAATCATTGATAGATGACTAAGCTGAATTAGATGGAAAAAAATTGTGAAAACAGCGCAGAGGTTTGGATTTGACTGTACACAACTGCAAATGCAGCATCTATCAGTTATTTGTTGAAGTAGCTTCATCTATTCTGTTGCTGCAGCAGAAACTCTACCGTAGCTAACAATGTTGGATATAGATGCAGCTGCTTTAATGAGTTCCAACTGGTACTACATATACATTCCTCCTAGCTCTGAAGCAAATTTTTTGAAACAGAATAAAAAACACTGCACAGCCTTAGAAAGCAATTTATCCCACAGTGTGTTAATGGTTGCAGTAAAACTCTTAATATTTATCCTGTAATCTTTCTGACTTAAATGGGTTTAAGTTTTATGCATCCTTGAATTAACATAACAATGTATTATGTAAAGGTTAGATACTTATTTTACATCAATTATGAACTATCACTAGCAGAATCCATTCATAGGAATTATGAATAGCCTAAGAGTGTATATATTGGGGGTGGGGGATTCTCCTTGTCTAAATGTAAATCACAGAAATAACTTGCCAGTGGATGGTACAGTTCAAACATTTGCTTTCAACATTTCTTCCATTATGCAGGACGAGTTTTTTTGTTTGCATGTTAAACGTAGCTTGTCTTTGTGTGTATATTATTTATAAAAGATCTTTTTTTAAAAAAATTCTAAAAGTGCTTTTACTGGGGGGATGCTTCAAATTCTTTTCTTTAACCCATACACTTTATATACTTCTCTATCTTTAGCTGGCATGTTGGTATTTTGACAATTGCATCTTGTGTTTGTTCAGGCTCTTCAGTAGGCCTTTCAAAGGGAAATGTTGGAATTTTCCCTCAAAAGGGGAAAGAAAAGACACTTTCACCTTGTAGAAAGGATGTGTTCAGGTTTTTAAATTTTTTTTTTAAGAGCCTGTTCCTGGCTCCATGCCCAGCAGTTCTATCAGTGCAATCTAGCAGCTTGCCAGCTTTGTGTTGCTCTGTTCCCCCTGAGACTTAAAGAAAATCTGGTCTTCACATTTAGAAGACAGCCGAAGGATGAAATACTTTGATCCTTCAGAGCAACATTAGAGTAGGCCTCCTCCCAAATACTAAATATGACAAAGCACACTTAATTTATTCATTCTTTGTGTAAACACTGAATATTTTCTGTAAAAACTCAAAGATTTAGAAGAGACTTTTTATTAATTCAAAATAAACCAAGTCTTTTAATAAGACATCAGCATGAGTGGAATTGTACAGCAGTAGAATGGGGCAGAAAAATCTGATTTTCCTGAAAACTAATTGATATTGCTTTTTTTAATAGGTAAAGAGCATTAAACTAAAGAGCTTTTATAAAGGAATCTAATTGTGCAAGGAGTACTATAAACAAAGCACATCGGTGTGCCAAGGACTACAAAACTAACCTTTCAATCTTATATTTCAGGATTGATTTCCTACACAGAGTATCTGTTTTTGCTGACGATACTCACAAGTAAGTATTTTGTTGGTGTCTGTATTTTGTAATTTAAATAAATATTAATTGCTATTATTAGCTCATTTTACTCATATGATCCAGTTAAAGCTCAGCTGATAAAGATATGAACTTAGAAAAATAATTGGTCACACGCACAGAGAGAAATAAAGAAAAAGACTTACTACAGGTCCTTAAAAAGTGAAGGCATCTTAAGCTTGCCTTACCTGCTTACTTTAATGTTTAGACAAGTTCATAAGTGATGGATCCTTGAGATATTTAGGCCTCAAGTTGTTCAGTGCTTTAAAGGTCAAAATCTTAAACTGCATCCAGAAAACAACCAATAATCAGTACTTTATACTAAAAGAAGCTTCTGGGTGCGTTTCAAGGGTAGCTGATCGTTGCAGTGATCTCTTGAAGGAGATGGGCAGTCTAGAAATGCAATCAATCAATCTGAGTGCAGCTTAGGCACAGGTAATTATTGCCAAGTCAAATTAGCATACCTGCAGTATGATTGCACAAATTTCCTCTTTGGGGAATAATACATACGTGTGTCATGATTCCATTTTTTATTAAGCAACCCCTTGATGGCAGGATTAAATTTCATTTTGTGTATTCGCATGGCCCCTTTCTGCCTCTTCCCTGTTCCTTGAAAAGACCTTCCCAAGCCTGGAGAGAATGGAAGAAAACATGTTTAGAGATGTCAGTGTTCAAATATACAATTTTCCATTCCACCTGTTAGTATCTTTCTAGATCATGGGAACAGTTGGAAGAGAGTAAGCACCAGCTTCTTTCCAAATGGTTCAGAACTAGTATAACTCTCAGAATTGCTAGCAGCATTTCCAAGTCAATTGAGGAAAGATGAAGGCTGAAGCCTATTTAGAGTCCTAAGGATTCATCTCTCTGGTTGAATAGCTTTTGGTAGGGTTTGTCTGTCTTGGCATCTGCCTCCCGTGATGATTTAAAGAAAAAATATGGGCTGTTACTATTTTGATAAAGTTAAATGTTATTTTTATGGCCAACACCCAAATATAATTTCTGTTAACAGCCAATGCGAATATTTGATACTCTCATCCTAAAAATATTGTCTGCGTAATGAAATGGAAGTGTGTGGGGGCTTTTCTTTGAACCTCCCTTATTTTATAAATACATACCATTAAACCTGCCTCATATCAGATAAGAATGTCATCTAGTGAGCTGCACGGGCTGCTTTCGCTCCTATGCCTTCTACAGGGCTGCCTCCTTATCAACCTGTTGCAGCAGCTGGTTTGTTTCACTGCTTTATCATTTTGCTTTATTCTCCAGTAAACTAATAGGCCCCATATATACAGTGTTACTGATTCAAAATGTCAACTTAATAAAATTCAGTGGCCATTCTAAATCATTATGGCTTCTTGCCCTAAGGCCTAAGCAGTAGACTGTAGATACCTTGTTTGTATATGGGTGGGTGGGTGGGTGGGTGTGGGTGTGTATGTAAAAGCTTCCCTGACATTCTTTGTGTATTCTTAGAGGATCTTAATGCCGTCACATTGGCTCAGTTGAAACAATATCTATTTGATTCTCCAAATTTTGATTTGCTGGACTTCTTTTTAGTAACACAAACTCTAATTTAGAGCATTCCCATATTATGTATAGAATTTGTAATGTGTGTTTTTAAAAATAGCAACCAAACTGGTAAATCTTTCATTGTGTGATACTTGGTTTTGTAGATACTCAGTACCTACTGCTAGCAAATCTAGAAATGGTTTTTAAAAATGGCTTCACATCCACCTGTTTATTTGATAATTTATATCCTATCTTTACTCCAGGAGCTTGAGATTGCATCCATAAAATCCTACATCCAATTTTTCCCACAGAAACAATCTCTGAGAGTAGATTGGTATGAGAGTGTGTGAATGATCACAAGTCACCCATTGAATTTCCATAGTTTAGGATAGCCTTGAACTTGGGTCTCCCTGGTCCTAGTTTATTATCTTAACTGTTACAATACACAAATTTCTTTTATGTAAATTTGGAAGCATGGTTTATTTATAGGGTAGTAGACAGTATCACTTACATGTGAAGTTTTTTTTAACACATCTATTATTTATTGTAGAACCACAGACTGGATTTCGTATTGCTTTTAAAATGTTGGATGCAGATGGCAATGAACAAGTAGAGAAAAAAGAATTCTTTAAGGTATGATTTTAAACAATTGATCAGTTGCTCTTGACGGCTGGGGGGGGGGAGATTTGAATCCAACCCATTATGGAGCCATACATTTCTTCCTCTGTTTTTGAAGTTCATGAATTCTAAGTCATGAATATTATCTTAACTATAAACAAGAGTGTATTTTTTCTGAGGTGATAATAAATGTATGTCAAACATGCCCTTCTACTTTCGTTTATTATTGATGTGCAGTGTTTAATAATATGTTTTGGGACAAAACAGTTACTTGTGCTCATTTCATATGCAAGTAAGATAAAGTTCCAGATTTTCCAGTCCAGAATTCAACAATAAATGGAATGAGTACTGTCAAAAGTACAAGCAGGATTCAAAAGATCACATACCTAAGATCACTTTTTTGTTTGTTTGTTGTTGAATTTATTTGCCTCCTATCACACCATGGAGCTTACAATAATGAAAAGGAAGAAAAATGAAAAGAGTATAAACAGAACAGAAATAAAATAAGAGAACAATAAAATAAACAAGGACAAAAGAACACAATGAGAATAATAAATCAATATGATAAGCAAAAAGATGGATGAATAGAGAGCAGAGAGTGGGGGTAAGGTATGTGAAGTCTGCCATTAATTTAGCAGCCATCTCCATCATGGAATTCCCTCATCTAGTCCTCAGGCCAACCGGCAGAGCCAGGTCTTTAGGCTCCTGCGGAAGGATTGGATGGTGGGGGCAGATCTTACTTTAGAGGGTAAGATATTCCAAAGGTCAGGTGCTGCAACAGAGAAGGCTCTTCTTCTGGATACTGATAGTCAAAAGAGTTCTTTGACCGACAGGATCCAAAGTAGGCCTGTCTGCTGACACTAGTAGGACCGACTTGTCCTAGTCGGACATAGCTAACATCCTATGGATAATGACAGAGGCAAGATTTGGGGCTGTTTAAATGATAATTATGGATAGCCCTTAAAAGTAAGAATGTGCCAAGTAACCTCGTTTGCCTATTGATTTTATATAATGAGTATCAGTTTGAATGGAATATGGGTTAACTAAATATTTCATATTAGAAAAGAGATGTATTGGAGTTGTATGTCATCTTGTTTATTGTATGCATAGTATATCATCACAAATGCTGAAGTAGAAGAAATAGATAATTGGGATTAAATTTTTTAGGAGAAACATCAGCAACCTCAGATGATTAGAAATGAGGGAGGCTTAAGGAATCTCTTGGTGAAGGTGGGCAAAGACTGCCACAGCCAGTTTACTGCTCAATATTTAAAAAAGAAAACTAAGGTTATATCAACATCATTGTCATCTACTGTAAACAAGTGGGAAAAGGCTGAAGTAATAACAGACTTTATCTTCCTGATTCAGAAACTCATAATGATGGTAACTATGGTAAATAAAAAGATATTTGCTCCTTGGGAGAATGACTGTGATAGATCTCGACAAAGTGCAGATACATCTCACTGATAACAAAGCTATATATTGTCAGGGGCATTGTTTTCCCAGTTTTATCGTGTGGATAAGAAAGCAGGATCATCAGAAAAGCTGGAAAGAATAACTTGGAAAAAACTTGGAAAGAATAACTTGCATAGCAAGAAGAACAAGTATTTCGATATTAGATGAAATAAAACAGATCTCACCAGAAGAACTAATAATGAACCTAAAACTTAAACATTTTGGACATATAATGTAAAGAATGAAACCCTGACTCTTGGAAAAATTGAAAACAATCAGAAAGAGGCTGACACAAGCCAAGGTTTTAATTTTTACTATGGATGTTTTAAATTTGTCTGTGTTTAAATTTGTCATGCAAACTGGTAAAAATTCATTTGAATTGCTGCAGGATATAAATGTGATAAATGAATAAAGCACTAAATACTATAACATAACCATGATTTCACAAGAATTCAAAAGAAGCCTTTACTGACAGGCAATATGATATCCATCAGATCACAAAAAGCTGGAAGTGACTAAAAAGCTGAATAACAAAAACAAATTTAAGAAAATACTGCTTTTTTCAAACCTAACCTGTCAGAATTTCTTTTAACATAGGATGTGAGGAATCAGAGGTACATTTTTAAGGTTTATAAAGTACAGGTAGTCCTCAACTTATGACCATAATTGGTTGGTACCATAATTGCAGCCCATAAGTTGCTGCAGTTTAAATCAAGTCACCATTTGACTGGAATGATTTTACAACTGTTTTTACTATGGTCATTAAAGTGAATCACATAGTTAAGTGAATCCAGCTTTCCCAATAGACATTTTCTACTGGAAATCATCAAAAAAAGGTTGCAAATTGCAAATTATGTAACTACAGGACACTGCAACCATTTGTAAACGTGATCCAATTGCCAAGCACCTAAACTGTGATCACATGACTTTAAGGATGGTGTGACAGTCATAAGTGTAAGAGACGAACCATAAAACACTTTTTCCCAAGGTTGTAACTTCAAACTTTTGTTAGGTGACCAGTCGTAAGTCAAGGACTACCTGAGGGAGAATGTAAGGAGAGTTCATTTTTATCATTTAGAAAGAAGGTCATATGTTCCTTCTCTCACAATGATAAACATAAGCACTTCTAAGCATCTTTCAATCCTGCACTTTCTGTTTCTATCTTTGTTGCTATCATATATAATAAATTTTATGTTTTTATTTTTGCTATCCATTTGAGGACTGGTGTTATCATCTTTGAAAGGTAGGGGGGCTTAGCAGTGCTACACTGTATTCAATTTCTTTTTGCACACGTGATAAAATTGCTGAGAAATGCTTTACAAAAAAAAAAAAAAATTCCTGCCAGGAGTCTGTTGGGTGATTACTTTAGGACTTAAAACAATAAGCAAATGCAGCTTTTGATAGAAAACTTTTGAATCTAAAACCTGTTTTTATTGTATAGGTAGTCATGATTATTCAATCATTTGGTTTTTTTAAAAGAAAACACAGCTTTGTATCAAACACATATCAATGTTTTGACTATTCAGAATGTTTAAAAGGCACTATTTTAATACGTTTTTAAAAGCTACAATCTATAAGTGAGATTATTTTTATTCAGTAGTAGCTGTTTTAATTTAGGGTTGATGTCCATGGTATCTAGTGAAGGCCTTTCCCACTGCTACTGCCTGAGAATCTTTATCTAGAAATGGCAGGGGTAGAGAAATATTTCCTGCCTGCACAGGGATGTGGCTTGCCAGTTAATTTTCTTAGTCAAATTGATAGTATTTTCCTATACTTCAGACAGGAGGAATAAGCAAAAGAGAAATTAAGCTTCATAAGGCTGCTTAGTAAACTGTCTGAAGAAAAATTTGAATCGGGGGAGAATTCATGCCCTCTCTATGAAAGCTCTCATTTAACTTTGAGATAAATCAATGGTATATAAAAGCATTTATCTGATTTTACTTTTCTCTGATCCTGTGCTGCCCTGCTTCAACTTATGATATATTTCTGTATGTATTTTAATACTTTTGCAAGAAGGTCAATTAGTTCTTTCCATGATTTGCTTAACAAACACACTCCCACGACTCCAAAGAATCAGGACCTTCCCAAACGATGTGGACTGTGGATTGGTCCTCTGGGTTAAGGAGGATAATCAAGGCTGGGGAAAACACAAACGGATTATTCAAACAAAGTTTGAATCTATAATCTTTGGAAATGACAAATGTACAGTTAACTTTCTGTGGGTTTAAAGAATTAATTTCAACGAGCGAGCAGTTTTTCTTGTGATCATATTCCTTCATGGAAAATCCTGGAATAAAATATTCCTTCCTACCCCTCTCCTTCCATCAGTGTGATAGTTCTATACTTGGGCTTCCTGTCATACATTACATTTACTTTGTAATTCATGCATAATTTATACATTCTATGCTTGTTTAGTGTTCTTGTATGGAAGATTTTCTACATAGAGACTTTCATAATAAATAAAGGAGGCCTCAATCTTTGTAACCTCATTAAATATTCTGTATATGCTGTGGGAATGTCCTGATCACACTCAAAAAAATAGAAGATAATAAATACATATTTTTCTTTTAGCTTCAGAAAATAATTGGAAAGCAAGATGAGTTTAAAACAGCTTCAGGAGATGACATCCTGTCTCAGGTAGGTACCACTCCAAGGAAGATTCATATGAATTTTCTGATGCATCTATATAATGTGTTCTCTGTTAAAATATTTGTGATGTTTATTTATTTACTTAGTCTATGTATATAGTAAATAAACTAATGACTGAGGTTTTTTTTCCTGAGATACTTTTCTAAACCGAGGGAACTCAGAGTTAAGGTGAAGGTTATATAATAAGGATAAAAGGGAGATTTATGGATCATCATCACAAAAAAGTTTATATTATGATAATGTCTATTAGGTTTTAATGCCTAGTTCACAGGTCGGCAACCTGTGGCTCCAGAGCCGCATGTGGCTCTTTGAGCCTTCCCCTGTGGCTCCCAGCCTCCTCTGCCATTTGCAGAGAGAGGCACTTGCACTTTCCTGCTTCTCTCTGTCTCTCTCTGTGTTTATGTGTAAAAAAGAGAGTGGACTCACGGTGTTCTCCGAGGAGCTGAAAAGCTTACTGGGCGGAGCACCTCCCTTTGCTGCGTCTCAGCAGGAAGCAGGAAGGGCAGGAGAGAGCTAGCTAGCCCAGCTATGCTGACTCAGGAATTCTGGGAGTTGAAGGCCATGAGTCATAAAAGAGCCAAGGTTGCCTACCCCTGAGCTTGTTGGAGAACAGCTTGAAGCAGGATATATGCAGTGTTAGCTTCATTTTAGATATCAAAAGGGTTTTGCGGCTCCCAGTGTTTTCTTTTCGGTAGAAAACAGGTCCAAGTGGCTCTTTGAGTGTTTTGGGTTGCCTACCCCTGGCCTAGTTCTTTGATTTTGGTTTTTGGGTGCCTTCAATCATTCTTCACTCTTAATAACTATATGGACATGCTCATAATTTTTTCTTAGAACATTCTTCAGAAGTTTTTTTGTCATTACCTTCTTCCTAGAGCTGAAACGGAGTGACTGACCCAAAGTCACCCGGTTGGCTCTATGCCTAAGGCACAGCAAAAACAGTCTCCAGCTTCTGCCTTTAACTCCTATAGCAAACTGGCTATAAGTATCTAAAATGTAATATGATTTATATATTTTAAATTTCTCTAGTTACAATTGTATAAATAATATAAAACTTACAAAAATAATAAAAAACATATAGTTGTTCAAGTTGGAACAAGTTGATTGCACCTTGATAACATTGGCTAATGTTTAAAAAAAAAAAGCATTAGACCTGATTAATACTTGGATGGGAGGCAATGAACATATCCTAGCATACCCTAGGCTACATGGAGAAGTTGAAAAAACATCCCACAGGAAAGCAGTAACCAATTACATGAGTATGGACATGGTATTACTGGCTTTGCAGGATAAGAGGCATGCTTGCCCATTAATTTTCTTACAATGAGTTTAGTAGATTGTTCTAATCCATTCTAGAATGTTCAGTATAATTCTATTATGTGCTCCAACTGTTTTAGTTTTACAGACACGCCATATACATGTTTCATTTATTTCTTTTGTTTATTAATGCTGTTTATTAATGTCATAATTGTTACCAGTTGAGCCCATAAATATTGACCTCCATCAATCATGACTTTGATCAATGCTGCTTGTGATCACCTTGTCTTTTTTTTGCAAATGTACTAAATATGCAGAAATTCCATTTTCCATTATAGAATCTCCTTAGGATAATATTTATTATGTTGTGTATTTTTTTTACTTTAGAAACTGCATTTAATAAATATATTTCATTATTGACCTTTTCCTTAATTTATACACATGGTAAAATAGATTGGTTTTCTGTTGCAACCAAAACTGGTTACAGGTTTTGTAACTGCAAAGCCAGGAGTTCAGAATCTTGCAAGCTTCAATGTCTTTCTCCTCCCTGATTTGCAAATTCCAGACATTTCTTTCCACCACCCCCCCCCAATCTCTGGGATCTGCATGAAACTTGCAAGTTGCCTAGTTTTTTGTGGGAAATGAGAGAGTCAAGGGGCAAATTGAATGACATTAAATCTCAGCAAATTTTCAACACCCCCCCAAGTCTCCCCAGCTCTGAAAAGGGTGGCCACATTTGTGCTGTAAGCAAAGCTCTCACTTCTAGTATCCTTGTTATTTACATTATTAACTTTCCTTCCTTATTTGCTAGTTTTTGCACTCTACAAGGGTTCGTGGCAGTAGGTAAATATTTCTGAGTTCAGCAGCAAATAAAAATGGGTAGAGGCTCTAGCTCAGTCTTTGAGAATTGGCTCCCCGTCCACAAAAAGGACACACAGTAAAAGAAGAAGAAGAAAAAAATATCCTAGGAAATCAGAGGAAAGGGAACCATAACATTTCAGCTGGCCTTTCAGTAAATTGTATAACTAGACAGCCTGCATCTTCATAGTACGTAGATGTTTTGCAAGAGTACCTACAATGTTCTCTCAAAATTCCAAATACTTTTACCAACCAAAAAGGTTCCCTACCTCTTTTGCAGCATATTATCATTATCAATTGTATCATTCCCAGATGTAATGAATTAATACTGAACTTAATGTGTATATTTTCAATTACAAAAGTCAATGATAAAATACAGCATGCACAATAAGCTATTTTAAGTGCTCTAAATGTGGTCCGTTTTACTTAGTTTAGTGGAAAGTAGCATCGGACAAATGAGTGCTATCCCTTTTCCCATAAAGTGTGTTGTTACTTGTGCAATAAGCATGAAACACATCAAAGTAATACAACCTGACGATAATACTAAAATTCAAATAACCACTAGAATTTGAATCCTTGACTAGATCTCTGTCTCAACTTTTTTTTTCAGCAGAAGAAAAGACACAGAGATCATGTAGATGTCATAAGGAGGGTACTGTTGAAATCCCTGTGGATTCCATGATGTTTAGTGTGTTGTTGTGTTCAAAGAAATGCCACTTAGTCAAAGTGATCAAAGAAAATTATAACATAGAAGTCCGTCACTGTGCATAGTTTCAGCTGTCAGAAAAAATTGAAATAACTGAAATATAGAAATACATTCCTTGATTTCTCCTAAGCACTTTTACTAAGGGAAAAATCAACTTTATATGAATTATTTCTCTTGAATAAGAAATAGATGAATTCATGTAGCTATTGGCTTCATATTTTGGCATATCTAACTGAATAGATAAAGTTTGATATATAAATTTAGAACTCTTTATCTTTTACATTTTTTCTAAAGTAAATTTAGTTTTCCCACATAGAGATAAAAACTTACTGGAATCAATACTATTTATACTGTAAATATTCACTTGCAAGTATCAAAATAAATATTTTAAGAGTTTGTTGTTGTTGTTTTTTAAAAAAAACATAGAATCCTGGAGTAGATTTTTAAAAGTTGCATTAATAACTGATAAAAGTATTTGAAATAATTATTCATTTCAAATATTTTTCTTCACTGGTAGAAATAGAAATAAAGTAGCTGCAGTTGTCATACAGTGCTTCCTTATGTGGATGTTTCTTTTTTGGAATGAGTCTTGACTAACTCCTAATAGAATTCTTCTTGAAACTTATGTGATCAACATTAAAAACTTTTTTTTCATATACCCATTGGAAATGGGCCAAAATATTCATTTTTTTTTAATTGTCCGTAGGAACTGCATATACGTACCTACAACAAAACCCTGTATTATAAAAGAGAAAGCAATTTTTAATACCAAGATAGAATTTGGGAAAGTTGTTATCTGAAGTCTGATCAAATTGATAATTATCATACTATAATAATAAATTGCTTCATTTCTGTGAAAGCCTATTCCTTCATTTAAAGTTCATTTTGGATTTTAGTTTGCATTGTTCGGGGTAAATAATTACATCTTTTGCTTCAGTTATTTACGACTGGATTACAAAAGTACAAATAACATTCCATCAAATGTTAACTTTTGATTTGTTGTTACTTGCTTACAGGAATCAGAAATGGAAGGTGCTGATATCAACACCATGTTACTGGTCCACTTTTTTGGAAAAGGAGGAAAAGATAAACTTCAGTATTCGGAATTCCAAAGGTAACGTTATAAAATCTTTGAATTGGGCTTGCATATTTAAAACCATTAAAACTGGATAAGGATTATGATCAACAGGCTTACAGAGGCAAAAACAGAATATATGGGTTTAGTATTCTTTTTAAAACTTATTCCAGGTTTGTCAGGTGGTTAACCCAATACTTCTGAAGGCAAAGGGGGAATTAAGGGTTTAATACAGGGGTGTCATACTCGCAATGTCACGTGATGTGTCACGACATATAGCGACTTTTTTTCCATTGCCAGCAATGGGGTGGGCGCGGTTTCAGCATGACACATCCAGGCCGTGGGCCGGCAATTTGACACCCCTGGTTTAATAATTTAATTTCTCAAAGCGTGAGTATCTTTGGTAGATGACTAAGTCCACATTCTGCCTTTCTGGGAGAAATTTGAGACTTTTTGTAAATCAGCCATGATGTCCACATGGGGCAAAAAAAACCCATGACAAACTTGGATGCATGATAAGATTGCTTTTAATTAACATCAGCTACAGGTGCTCCTTGACATACGACCATTTATTTAGTGACCATTCAAAGTTATAATGCCACTGACTAAAGTGACTAAAAAGTGACTAACAATTGGTTCTCACACATAACGACCCTCAAAGCATCCCCATGTGATCAGAATTCAGGCGCTTGGCAACCAGCATGTGTTTATGACAAGTGCGGCGTCCTGAGGTCATGTGAACGCTATTTGTGACCTACAAGCAAACCTAATGGGGGAAATTGGATTAATTAACAACTTCATGATTCACTTTGCAGTGAATCACTTAACCATAGCAAAAAAGGTCATAAAATCAAGCATGATTCACTTAACAACCATCTTGCTTAGCAACGGAAATTCTGGTCCTAATTGTGTCCATAAGTCAAGGTCTACCTTGTATCATCCTGTTCTGTTCTTTGCTGCAAGTTACTTTGGAATTTCATCCTGATTTTTATAGCCTTTTTAAAAATAATTGTCATATCTTTTATTTCAGAAGGATCCCAAATAACTTTCCATATTTGGGACACTGTGGGAATTGCATTAGATGTTATGTCAAGATAGTGTTTCTCTCTGGAATGCTTTAATAGCACTAATTTCTATAGTGCTATTCCCAGAAAATGCCTAGACTTCAGTTCTTACTTTTAGACATTTAATAAAACAAGTCATGCTTAACTAATAATAGAGATTCTGATTATCTTCATCTGACTTTTATGTAGATTACTACAATTTTGCATTTTATTCTATCTTTTTAATGTCATGTTGTGCACTGCTCTGTGCTTCAAGTCAGGATTGTAGTATGATTTGTTTTAAATTAAACATTTTTTATTCAACAATTAAAATGAGCATTAGTTGATCCTGTGTTGGGAATAAATAGTTAAAATGCTATTTTTAAAAAAGAGACTGTTTAAATGCAGACAAGTGGCCCCTTTATCCTATGAAATAGAAAATAAGACTTGAAGCTATATGACTTCTACCTTGAAAAATGCTGAAGAAAATATCCCACTTAGTAATATAAATAAATTTAATATCAATTGTTTTCTTTGCAGAATCTTCTGCAAATGGGTCCCTCTGCTTGAATCCCATTACGTTTTCCTCAGGATTACTTCGCATGCTAACATTCATAATTATTTTCCTAAAGGTTACCATCTGTTGAAAAATATAGCTTGAGATATATTTATATCAGGATAGGCAGAAGCACATGAAATAGAGTCATCTATTGAGAAGATAAGAATATTTTGGCATCCAAATTTCAGATCAAGAAGTGTTTGTGAAAGAAAGTTATGCATTTTCCATATTTTGATTCCATATTTTAATTTTAAATGTGCATGCCTATTATGTTCTCCCCTTTTAACAATGGAGACGTTTAACGTTGTGCATAATATAACAATATTATTCAGAGCATAGAAAATGGGTAGGAAATACTAATCAAAATATATTAAAAACCTGAAGTGAAAAAACACAGCTAAAACTAATATTTATCTACACCACTGACTGAATGCATTCATACTTTTCTGTCTTTTCATGATCGTCCTTGCTTCATACATTGTCAGTCATGATTTCAAGTTGTCTTTAAAATGTTTATTTTATTTACAATACTTGTAAATCACATTGACTCGGGCAGTGTATAACAAAGCAAGTAACATAAAATGTTGTAACTTACGACCAAAATTGGGACCACAATTTTCATTGCTAACCAAGGCAGTTGTGAGTTGCACCCACTTTTATGACCTTTTTTGCCACGGTTGTTAAGCAAACCATTGCAGTTAAGTGAATTGCATATTTGTTAAACAAATCTGACTTTCCCCGTTGACTTTGCTTGTCAGAGATCATCTGGGAAGGTCTCAAATGGCAATCACATGACCCTGGGATGCTGCAACCATTGTATATACCCAAGCACTTGAGTTTTGATCACATAACCATGAGGATTCTGCAATGGTCATTGGTGCAAGGATTGTTCTTAAGTCACTTTTTTCAAAGCTGTTGCAACTTTGAACAGTCACTAAGTGAATGGTTGTAAGTCAAGAACTATCTGTTTCATCCTCATGGCCTTGAGAGCTACAAGGAGCATCAGGGACAAACATATTTTTGGGAAAGAGAGTATTCCATATAGAGTCAAGAGGTGATCAGGACTGAGTTCCCATTGCCAGATCATCCTGATTCAGTAGAGCTATAATCAGTGCACCAGCCAGAACATGGCAAGGACTTTTTCATCATGGCAGCTTAAGCAGGGCATGTCAGTCCAGAGGAATATCTACGACTTGCTCTATCATGATTCAACACTGAATTGAAGTCTTCATAAGTGAAGGACAAAATATGACTGTACAAGGAAATAAAATGTTATTTTGTTTTTCTTAGACTCCAGTAGCACCTTCTTTCTAATTTGGATCTGAGTAAAAATGATTCTCAGTAAAATTTGAAAATATGGCATACAATCACTTGTAGCTGTCCCAAACCATTGATGTCTACTATACCTTCTGTCATAATACAAAAATTCTGATTCTCAGGTGCAAGGCTTAAGATTTTTATCCTGCCTGTCTATTTTCCCCACAGCAACCCTGTGAGATGGGTGGTTTCACTGGCCCAAAGCCACCCAACATTCCCTCATAACAGAAAAAAAAATACTCATCAGTTTGGGAATATTTTGACTAATGTCAAACCGAATGAAACCCAGTCCAATTTTATCCCAGATTTGCTTACACTATTCTATGCAAGTGAGGATTCTTTTTGTCTAATCACTGTCAAGATTGATTCGCCTTTTCACTACATTTTCTCCCTCAGTCATATCTTGACAATGAGATGGAATGCAAAGAGGAGGAGTGTTATCTAGGCAATCGAGGCTTCTGAGAGCCAAAGTCACTAATGCAGGTGCTCAGTGGGGAAGTAGACTGTTTCCATAACAAGAAGAAATGTTACTATTGGACAATGTGAACACCCGGTGGGTGGGACGAAGGAGTTTGTTGTTTAACTAAGCAAGCCTCTGAGTGGGAAAATCAGACCTGGTTTCACTTCTTCTGTGCCAATGTAGATTTTCAGTAAAGTATTATACTCTTGATGAAATCATATCCTAAGAGTTTCTTTTTCTGGAAATGCCAACTGGATAGTTGACATTCACTCCCTTATTAATCAGCATATGTTGCCTGTATTACACCAATACATGGAATATATTGATAATGCTCACCATTTAAATAGTCTGACCAAAGCATTGTACTGAATAGGATACATGAGCAGGTGTATCTTTCCCAAAAACAATTGAGAGACTTCGTCCATTTGGCTCAATACTGGCCCTTTTCACTTTAAGATTTCTCTTATGTGTGTCCAATGGTATATTTGGGCTATTGGAACCTCTGTATAGTGGCTCCTTTCTGCATTGTAAATGTAAATGTTGGAAAGCCAAAGACATTGGAAAGAAAAGAAGAGATTTGTTTGAAATGGTGCAGGGTTTCCTGCTTGAGCAGAAGTAGAAGGCCTCTGAGGTCTTTCTCAATTCTGTTATTTTGTTATTGTTAAGCCTAAATCATTTAGATGGAATTCATAATACAACTGCTTCTTTCACAATTAACACTGATGCTGGTGTCAGAAGCAGCCCCATTCACAACTCAAATACAGAATTCATCTGGTTAATCCTGAATTCAGAAATGGATTGTGTTATTTTTACTCAGTATGATCAGTCCTCTTTTAAACATGCATAGCATTTCTTCCATTCATCTCACAAAAAGAAACCTTGTGGTTTTCATGTCTGGTTCATGTCTGTTCCCTCATTCTTTTATTTTGTTATATTTTTGCTTAGAAGTAGCAAGCCTAAGAATCTGGAACAGTAAAAAACTTGTAATACAGTGGGTCATAATCAAGTTATTTTCCTAATTTCTTTCTAGTGGACATACATAACTACCGTATACAGAATGCATTTACTCTCAGCTAACATCTAAGTAGGAGTTTCTGGAGATGGATGAGAAATTTATTTAGTTCGTGTTCCAGTACAAATTTATCCAATTAACATTTTCCAAATCAAAATTTAGTTATTCTCCAGTATTTGTATATTTCTGAATGTTGTGCTACAACTTTTGAACAAAGTGCAAAACTGGATAAATGGGCACAAAAAGATGTATATTGTTGAAAGCAGCGAAATGCATTTTACATGGGAATTTAATTGCAGAATAATAATATTAGAAAAATATGCATGCAAATCATGTAAACATTGTATCTAATTTTGATTTAAAAATAATGTATTGAATGGTGGAGGGATGGCGTTAAAATAGAAAAAAGGAGAAATTCTGATTTAGCCATGGCTAATGCCATAAAAACTTGCCCTTCCATGTATTTAGGATATGCTCCAGTTCAGAAGAAAATAAGTTTTTGATATGCTTAAATTCTAAATGTGTTCATTTCTGTTTCTTTTTCTCTTTCAGTGGGGTCTTTAATTGTGTTAAGTCCAGAGTACACTAGTAAAAGGTTGTTTGCATTTAATGTGTGAAATGGAATGTCTCAGGTAATTAGATAAAGTC